TGGCAACTTTTCCACTCCATTTTTTTTCCTGGTTATTTTAAATTATTGCAAATTATGTATTAAGTACAACCTTATAAAAACCATCGATCTATATTACATTATATCAACGACCTATTTTTTATTTACATATATTTGTACAAAAAATATATTTAAGTATATTATAATATACACCTATCGCGATACAAAATCAATTGTATTTAAAAAAATGTAATAGCCTAAATGTTTTTGGAAAAGTTGAATTATCCTGTATGATATATGAATAAAAGAAATTACATTTATTGAAAAACAAAATAATAAGAAAAGTATATCAACATTTAATAAAATGCATTAGCTTTCAAATCAATGTATTAAGATGCACCTACTTGGTCATCATTTATGAAAAAATACTCGTACATTCTCCTCAACTATAAATTATTATCTAATTTTTATTTTAATCCACTATACATGTCTACGTAAGAGTTATTAGCCATTACAATATTACATACTATAAAACATAGCAAAATGTGTGTGTGTTAACTATAACCATTTACAAAAAGCTCATTACCAAACAGATTAAAGAGTTTTGATCATAATGTGGAATCCTTTTTAATGATGGAGGTAGGTACTTGTTGCCCCGTTTATTTAACGGCACTTGATGGCATAATAAAATATCTCTTTATGTGGCACTATTATTTGGGGTATTTTCTTATTATATAAGTTTTTTACGTCCCATGCACTACCAAATATAAACGTAAAGTGTTGATGTAAATTATGGTCTATAAAATGTATTTTTTTTTTCTTAATATAGTAAAATGTCTTTATGATTTTCTAATCGTATACAGGGCCATTCACCAAACATGCTTAACTTAATTTTTGCACTTCTAAAAAATAAACTCCTTAGCAAAATTTGGCATTCTACTAGATATTTTTCCACTGCATTATATACCCAAAAACATATCTATAATTACTCAATTTTCTTGCACAGGAAAAATATTTAGTGAAATGAAATTTGAAAACAAACGACATTTTTTTTATTCCTCGTTTATCAGGTCATTCTTTTGCAGTGACCATAATATCATATTTGATTTATTATGCCCTCAATTATTTTGTTCAATTTAAATTAAAATGATGAGGAAACATATAGCCTTCTTCTATATACATTAAATAAAACATGGTTTCCGAATAGGTATTATTAAAGCTAAACTGAATATTTTAGGAAGTATAGTTACCATAACACATTGTCAAAGTTAAAACAATATTCGATGCCATTTAGGTACATGTGCATTTTTAGAAAAATAATATTATCTGTATATTATTTTTGCGTGTCTTCATACTGTTTTCCTATAAATAGGGTCATTTCATTTTCATATTTCTGTTAATGATTTAAAAAATCTGGATCTAGATTGGTGCTGATTTCACAATATTATGTTCCTAATATATAACTTGAGTTAGAAATCTTTGTATTATTCAATACTATGCTTTACAGGATTATTAGATAGGTAACTTAGTTTTCTAGTTTTTTTACATTCATTGAGTTCCTTATTATATTTTATCGTGGTCTTAAATTGATGTTACAGATTAACGACAAAAATCGGTGTACCACCAATTGATCGAATTCTAATACTTAACCCACGATAATTGATCTCAAATATAGCTATATAGGTCATTTCCGGTGTAAGGTTAAGTTGTACATTTAGGTTTTTTAATTTATTTGACGTCATGTCCAATAATTGGGTATACACACAATTTATTGAAATGATCCCGAGTTTTCATAACGAATTCGAATGCTACTACCATTAGCTATTATTCCAGAATCAGATGTAATAAAATATTTTTAATGCATAATGATAAAAAAAATATTGAAGATTTTCTTAGTGACATCGCATACAATTTTCAATTGCAGGTTTAATTGTTAATTTTTTTCTTTATACATAAATGTATTTTTTTTCTATTTAATGAAATTTAAGAATAATATCTATTCATATACAAAAATATAGCATATAATTTTTAATTGTAAGTTCAATTTGTTCCATTCTTATATATCTACTGACATTTTTCTAACATTTTTAATCTTAGACGAAAAAAAATAAATTTTTAACCATACCTGTAACTAGAGTCATGCATATTTGTTTCTAGATAATTGTTCAAATAAATATGTATTCAAATAAAAAATTACTATTGAAAATGTTATTTTACGATATATTGTCGTGCGGTAAATTATAATTGCGATCAATTGACTCGAGGTCAATTTTTTAAGATTAATTGATGTATATCCACAATAATTGCATTTTGTGTGCAATTTATTACATAACTTGAATTTCAACTAAAAACAAAAGTCGAGTTTCATCTCGAAGTGCAACTAGAAACACGACTTTAGTGCTTCGTTTCTAATTGTAAACTTTATAGTACAGTTTAGTATCATATTAATAGTAATAATAATAATAATAAAAGTTGTTTATTCCAATGAATAAAAACTGGTAAATAGTAAATAGTATACGATGTTTGAAAAAATATCAAATTATTTTTCTAATTGATCCCTTTTTATTGTTTGATAATTATAGCTTTTGCATCGATAAGCTCACTACCCATAATTTGTTATAACTATTAAAGTCAACGAAAAAAATAAATGTTTATAATAGTTGTCTGAATATAATATTATGTTATATTGTTATGATAATAGGCCTGTATCAAAAAAAAATGGTCGCTGGTTTATGTTTGATTTGTTTCTGCATTTTTTGTTTTAAATTCCATATTATGGTGATCATCGTTATGGTCAATTCATGTGATAATGAAACATCATATTTTGGCTGTGGCGGACTCCTTTTACACTATAAATTATCCAACAGGCAACAACGCGTGTCAAGAGTTTTTTTTTTTTCACAAATGTCCAATTTTTATACAATATTTATGTCGACCGATTGTTCAATTCAACTTCCATTGGTATTAAATGTTTCCATAAACCCGAATTCGTGCCTGGGATATATTATTGTAAGAACTCAATTTTTACTGTGACAGTTGACGATTATACGTCTTTGGACACTAAGTGCGAGTGTCTTAATAATACAGTAGGTGCTGTCACGATGAGGACTTACAAATACCACTGTGTTAGATCCCAATCAGATACTGAGGCTAGAAGTGAGTTATCAAAATATGGAAAAAAATGATCCACGTTAAACCACTTGAGCATAGATATATTAACTTTTCGATCGTATAAAAAAATGCATTAGTAATAACATCATTTTATGGATCTCTTAATAATTCTCACACAATTTAAATTTCCTAATTATGGTAGTACAATAAATAGATTGATTAAACTAAAATTGAGAAAAAAAAATTGTTTCACGAATGTGCTGATTTTAATGAGATTTTAAATACTATTTGTCGCACCGTCGAACAAGGCAACGAAACACTATGAAATATATATAAAATATAACCTGATGCGTTTGGACAGAGACATAATGAATGAACACGTTTTAAAAGTTGTTAAAATTAAGCTGAAAATACCTGTCCAAAGTAAGTACGGGAGCGTGGTAAACAGTAATGTACTAGTCGATCCCATTGGCACGTTCGACATTTCCAATATTCTATCGGCAGCTGTTGCTATTGCTGGGAAAGCAATTTTCTAAACACCTGTATCTGGAAATTACGGTCTGGCACCTGAGAAGCGGCAGCAGTGCATTATAATATGAGATATATTATGTTGCCTATATAATATATACGCAAATTATTGTCACCATAGACAACGAGACCGTATGAAATGAATATATTATATTATTACCACACAGTGGACAGTGTATGTGTGTGTGTACCTATCTTTTCGTAGCATCAGAATCGTTCTCGTTCAAATAGAAACGGGACTAGAGATCATAAATTTATGTCCAAATGATACGTCGAGAGATTTGAAATAAATTACGAGATTCGCATTAAATTCGTCCTATAGTCATTTTTTCATTGTGTTTTCATTTTATTTTTTCTGTTTTTCGGTTTTTATTATTATATATATTTTTTTATATTTTTTTGTTTAGTGAACAAATCAACGCTCGACATTTTTATAAACAAGAGGGTCGCTTACGAGGTTTTTTAACGCGATTTTCCTAGCCAAATGTTGTGCAAATATTATCAACCGTTCTATTATATCTTTTGTCCTAAATCTTAACGTAACAAAAGTGAATACGTTTCTCTCAAAATCTACAGTTTTAGCAGAAAATCTCTCACCCATCCACATTGTCACATTAAGAAATCAACACAGAATTAATGTTTTTATTTAATTGAACGTCATTTTTCGTCTCCTGGCGTAATATATTTCTGCTCTCATAATGTCACACTTATTTAATCCCTTTTTAGGTCCTTCGTGATGGATCTACCACCTCAAGTTAATCTTAATAGAACAGCTTATGGTGAATTTAATAGTTCTTTTGCTCTCAACGTTTACAACTTTAGAACTCCGTCCAGTTGCATCATATTATAATCAAAATGAAATACGATTGGCAATACTTTTATATTGTTTTAATTAGTAATTAATACCGTGATTTATTATATAATATTTATTTCATTAAATGTATTACCATGTGAGTAAAACAACTTTTGTTTCATTGTTTTACTCGAGTGTGAAAATTTAAATTTATAAATGTACGATAAGCTGAGTTTAATATTGAATAAACATATCACCTTATTACTACCTATTCCATAAAAGTTTCTGAAATATTACCTTACAATGTAATTAATATCTACCAGCAACTAATTAAAAACAACTACTTCCTAAGTAAATTATTCAGCCGAATACTTGGATTACTATTATTTAATAAGTTATCTAAAACTTACACGTTCGTAATAAAATACAATAATTTAAAGTAATTTTTAAGAATCAATACTATTAATGTATCAATTCCTAAATAATAAACATAATTATCGAAGTACTGAACTACTTAAAATCTTTTGAAATGAAAATTTTTATTTATTTATAAAATCGTATACTTTTCGGACGAAACTTATACACATAAATTATATTTATAAGCTCTTACCTTTAGCCTTAGGCTTGCTGAGAAGTTTAATCACGATATCATCGTAAGCTTTTTCTTCTGCAACTCCTGAATCTTTCACTAGTTTTTCCTTTACCGCTATACAAATATTGTACTTGGGCATCAATTTCTCTAATTCCTCAAAAGCTTTAATGCCGTAACTGGACTCTTCGTAAATAATGGATATGTAACTCCAGCCAAGTCTCCGAACAATTTCTACCATAACTTTTACTTGGTAAAGATCTGAAGGTATAGTTCGTGTGAAGTATTCAAATCGCTGTTTATTACTTAGTTCAGGACTAGTTGACCAAAACGATACCTAAAAAATTCAATTTAACTGTATTAGAATATGAAATATTTGGTTTTAAATAGTTAATAATAATTAATAGGTAGGTAACAAATGGAAATTCAATTTATTTCCAACTTTATGTGATATTAAAAATAAAACAAAACAGTCAAGTGATGAATCGTGAATGTATTAGTATTGCAATGATCGGTGTTTATCTTCAATATTTTTCTGAAGACACTCTTATAATAAAAAATATACATAGATCATCAACATTGATGGTGGTTTTTTGTAGGAAATTAGATTGAGTTTGTTTTTTGAGAGATTAAAAGTAGAAATGGATTTCACTAAACTTTTCAAATTGATCAAAAAATATAGCACTATGAAACATTAACAATATTTACGCAACACTGGTTTCAGAAAAAAATTAATTTGGATTTTTATTGTAATTCAAATATGAATATCCGTATATACTTCAAATGTCTACCAAATATTGATATTTTCCATTTGTAGACATTTAAAATGTTTGACTGTTTTTACTTAAAATAACAATTTGGGCTGTGGGTAAAAAATTTAAATATTGCATGCAAAACTTGTCATGAAATTTTCTTACTGGGATTTTTGAAATATCTAAAACATATAGTCTCGATTTTTATTTATAAGCATTTGAATAAATTAAACATTGTAAAGAAAAATAATGATATTAATTATATTGATAAAACTCAAACTACATTATCCGCAGGTACTTGAAACTTTTTTCCATCATATACAATATTATTCACCATACATGATGTAATTTCCAAAATAAACAGATTAATTTTAATAACAATGTAAATAGGTTAGTGGTATAAATAGATTAATGTTGATCTATTTATACCAATAACCTATTTACACTACTTTTGCTGGACAGCATACAATGTAAAAAAAATTTGGGTTTTTATTAATTTATTATTAATATTGACAAATAATGTGATCGCTACTGCAGAGGTGATTAGTTGTTGATAAATACAGTCATGATATAAAACACGGTATTTTTCCTGACGTGACAAAGAGAAGAGATAACGTGTCGCTCTTAAGACAAAACCCGACCAACTTCGTAAATTACTACATATAGGTGTACAGATAATAATAATAAACCTTATGACAAGAAAAATACACACTATTCTATGGCATATACCAGTATTGACTTATGCGATAATAAAAGCTACCTAGTAATATTATATGAAATAAAATAATTTATTGTAATTAGAATATTATGAACTGGAGGGATCTACCTCTTGCTCGCTTTGTTCATCAAAGGTCAAAGGATCTGACAAGATCGTCCCTATCCATCCCCTTTGCGCATCACTACCGCAACACAAGTATCACCCCCTTTCCATCTTAAAATTATTAATGCATGTAATTTAAAATACTGGAAAATAAAATACGTGAACGATAAAATTTACATAACTTTTTTTTGAAAGAAAAATAGTTTAAAATATTTAATTAATAATAATTATTATTTGTTTATTTTTTGTATGCCACCGAAATTATTATTAAAAAAAATAATTGATTTATGAGTGCAGATTTAACTGACTGGAAATTAAATATTTCACACTAGGCAGAAAGTTACGAACATAAATTATAACACATCTAATTTACTTATACACCTAAAAGTTAAACTATACATACTTACACTAATAAACATTTTCGAAAATATTTATATAAATAATGAATTTGAACAATATATATTGATAATATTGATATTCTATGCTAAGTTATATCGAATTAATATTTTTTATCTATCATAAATTGTGATAATACTCATCGTTTGTTTAGGAATATGTAACTTTGTTTTCTTGTGACACCAATTTAATATTATAATTTATTATTATATTATATGATGGTTTAGAGGATCCATTATTTAGATTATTTTATAATTTCTTAATCCTAAATCAGTATTCCAGTACAGTCTTAGTGTCGTTTAAAGTGTAGGTATGCTAAGTCTAGACACATTTATAATTGCATTTTCAAGAAAATGTATATTTTATATAAATTAATTGATAATTAATAAGTCATATAATTGCATATTATAGTATAAAGATCATAAATAAGATGTGCAATTATTTATTCTGTAAATAAATAGTCGAATATATATTATTGATATTACGAATGATAAAATTATATTATTATTATAATAAATGTATTAGTTTAGCAATATTCTAAATAATTTTACAAATTGTATTAATTACAATAAGAATCCAACTAATTATCGTAAGCTAATACGTAGGTAATAATAAATTAGTTATTAATTATTAGAATTATGTGAATTATACCATACCCTATAGGTATTGTTAAAAATAATACAGCAAATAAATGATGAAAGGTAATTATTTAGAAATGTATAGGTATTATATAGATATAAAATAAAAAAGTTTAAAATAAATTTATGTAAAACTGGGTAATTTGTATTTTGTACGCACTACTTAGAAATCTCAGTGCAATAAATCGTGTATATTAACCACTGTAATAATTATTTAAGTATAATTGTAAATAGTAGATTAATAATAAAATATTTGTTAACCTTTTTTTCTAAAATAATATCAATAATAATAAATACAGTATGATAATGATTACTTGATAGATATAAATATAGTAAAGCTTCATTTTTTATCATATCACTGTGTATAATACCTATTTCTGGTGTTCAATTTATTTAGATTATGTTTTGGTTTAGTGATACTTTAAACTGTGGAATACTTTTATACGATGTACACAATTTTCGAACAGAGAAAAATAAATCAACCAACACTATTGTATCTTGTATCTTAGTACCTACACTTAAAAACGTATCGTTAAGACTTAAGAAGATGCTACACCCGCATATGTTGTCTCAGTCTAGCAACATTGCAAAAACTTTTTTTTGTGGGACAACTATATACTTCCTTTGTACCTATATACATATAGGAGAATAAATTACCAAAATTCCACAACTCGTAGGAAGAACTTTATTTGTGTTGTAGCGTTTTATTTTTTGAGAGCACTAACCAATAATTTTTAATAATTAAATGAAAAAAAAAACAAAAGAAAACCTAATGTTATGAAACTAATAACTTTAATTATATTTATATTATCCAAATAATAAAAACCATACGACATAGATAAAGTTTTCCATATTTTGTAAAACGTTGACAATACATGCGGGTGTACCGTCCTCTTATACACTATTTTATTATATAGGTCGCTTTTATTATATAGGTTGCTTTTATTATAATATAGGTCGCTTTTATTATATAGGTCGCTTTTATTATAAATTTAACCTAAAATAAATACTGAAAATATCTTTAAATAATGATTTCCGAATTAATTTAAACTGAAATATTGTTATAATTATTTTAGCTATATTTTAATTTTGACACAGATATTATATTATAATGTATGTTTTAACTTTTAAAGTTTATACATCTTATTATACACCTAAGAATAGGTACATTATTTTTTAATGTATTGTATAAGACATCCGAGAATAAATAATGAAAAAAATAGATGAAAAAGAAAAATAATTTTCGAAAGTCGTTGTTATAAAAAAAAAAATATTTTCTATTGTTTTTATTTTTCATAATTTTATAAAATCTCAGGCTATTATTGTACAAGTTATTCTTTTCTGCATCACAAAGAAAAGTTTAGTTGTTCTGAATAATTGTACAACTTTTAGATAGTAGAACATAGTATTACTTTTTCATTGGCGAATGCTCATCATAAAATGATGATTCATTTCTACAACTCCGTTGACTTGGGTTCATAAATTTTATTATAAATAAACAATCATTGTCATCCTAACAATACGGATATCCACATAGACGTAATTAGGCTGTAAGTTCTAGTGTGTTGGCGATTTGTTTTCTTGTACTCGAATGTTTCGAACGTGCATTGAATAATAATTTCCACTAGATGATAAATTATTTATAATACAATAAAATAAATAAATATATAAATATATTATATATATGTATATATATATTTTATTCGACACACGCGCACGCACTGTTATTTCCATACCACTCATTCTGACAGTTACGGAATTCCGGAATAATAAACCATAGGATTTTTTTTCTTACCAATAAATAATAATAAAAAATAAACAATCGTTTACGAAAAAATATTTTGTGTCATGTGGTACGCGTTCGAATAACGCAAAGTACTCGGTTACATCATATTGTGAGTTTATGTGTTTTATTATTATATTCCCATTTTTCCCCTCGGTAAGACCCAAAAAGCAAAAAATAACCATCAAACGGACACACACATATATGTATGTGTGTGTATATATATTTATTTAGAGAGAGACAATGAGCGGCTTTTATGGAATACGATAAAAAAATCTCGTAGTGACGGTGATGACGTCTTTTGAACACACCAAAGTGCAAATGTGAGAATACGGTTCGTTGTCACTGTCAATTCGGTCTGAAGACCAACACGGTGAGGCTTAATAATTTAGGCACTGTCGTGTGCGTATGAGTGTGTGTGTGTGTGTGTGTGTGTGTGTGTGTGTGTGTGTGTGTGTAGATGTCTAAGACATCGCCGCCAGTAATAAAAGTCCGTGGGCTATGAAGGGTCAACCGGACAGCCGTTACCGTCTTTTCCACTCGCACTCACACATAGCACTGTCCATATAGTATCCACTATTCCTTTGCACCATTATGTTATTTACACAAACACACTCGTCACAGCGAACACACAGCACACACACGCAATAGGCTTAGGAATTAGGACGGGTGAAATTAAACTCCGCGCACGACAACTATTAGCACTTGCAGTTGGGACCGAAATTGGAACCGAACCAGAACTGCTGTTTGATATTCCCGGGGTAACCTGACATCGATGACAGTATCATTATTTTTTGGCTGGTGGTGTAGATTTTTTTTTTAATTTAGATGAATATCTTATCAATAGCAGTTTTGAAAAAAACGCGTTTTAACTTTTATCAATCATTCGTTAGCTACCCCCAACTGAGTGTAGTATAGTATACTCTATAAAGTAGTTATAAACTGATA